AAATTAATTTGACCCACCCCTTCCTGTTTTTTTGACTTTTTGCATAACCTATAAGTCGCTGGATACAGCACACATGCCATATAGCTTTTGACAGATTGTGCTATTAGCATAGCAGGAAAGCTGGGGTCTTAGGTGGGCTCTGCGGGTTCTCAGTGGGGCTGTGCAGGATCTGTGGTGGGCTGTGCAGGATCTCAGGGGGGCTGTGCAGGGTCTGTATTGGGCACTGCATGCTGCAGAGCCCACCACAGATCCTGCAGAGCCCCCCTGGGACCCTACAGAGCCCACCATAGACCCTGCAGAGCCCACCACAGATCCTGCAGAGGCCCACCACAGATCCTGCAGAGGCACCCTGAGACCCTGGAGAGCCCACCATAGATCCTGCAAAGCCCCTCTGAAACCCTGCAGAGGTCACCACAGATTCTGCACAACTCCCCTGGTGGGCGGTGCAGGGTCTCAAGTGGGGCTGTGCAGGGTCTGTGGTGGGCTCTGCGCACTGCAGAGCCCACCGCAGATCCTGCATAGCCCCCCTGAGACCCAGCAGATCCCACCATAGATGCTGCAGAGCCCACCATAGACCCTGCAGAGGCCACCACAGATCCTGCCAAACCCCCCCTGAGACCCTGCTGAGCCCTCCATAGACCCTGCAGAGCCCACTACAGATTATGCAAAGCCCATCATAGACCCTGCAGTCTGCAGTTTCTCAGGGGGGCTGTGCAGGATCTGTGATGGGCTCTGCAGGGTGTCAGGGGGCTGTGCTGCGTGCAGCAGGGGGCCTCTGCAGGATCTGTTGTGGGCTCTGCAGTGTGCAGAGCCTGCACAACTGCAGAGCCCCCCACAGTTCCTGCAGAGCCCCCCTGAGACCCATGGGAGCCCACCATAGACCCCGCAGAGCCCACCATAGGCTCTGCAGAGCACACAATAGGCCCTACAGAGGCCACCATAGACCCTGCAGAGCCCATCACAGATCCTGCAGGTCAGCTGTGCAGGATCTCTGGTGGGCACTGCAGGGTCTCAAGGGGGCTGTGCAGGATGCGTGGTGGGCTGTGCAGAGTCTCAGTGGGGCTGTGCAGGGTCTGTATTGGGCACTGCATGCTGCAGGCTTGCCCGACTGTCTTGGGGGCGGCATTTCCGCCCCCCTGGAAAGTGCTGCCCAAGGCAAACACCTTGTTTGCATTGCGGCAGATACGCTCCTGCTTGCTAGACCAGTCCCTGCAGCCTCTTCTTCCCTGGGCTCCGAGAGTCCGAGGACCGCTGACATCATCACATCTAATTGAGGTTCCACAGACCTATGTTACATGTGAGGACACTGAGGGACATTCTAGCATTCAGAGTGGTTGGGGAGAAGAGGAGAGTGCTGATGGCTGGGGGAGCGGGGATCAGGGAAGTAAATCTGCGTTACTCCGGTCCCCTAGATATAAATGAACAGTGTGTGGGGGTAGCCCCTCTACAAGGGTAGTTCTATGTTTGCCCGGAGATGGGCTTTAAACTACATTCTGATGGTTCAAAGAACATCATTTGTGCCGCCCCAATGGGGCATAAAAGTTTTATATAGATGAGAATTTATATAGATTGTTTTGTCCATATCATTTTCCTATGGACGTTTGTATAGTTAGTTATATGTTGCCATCTAGTGGCCTTTCTTGG